TGAACGTACAGATATATGACCAAAATAATTTAATAAATGATATAATAATGGTAAGATAAATATCAATGATAATTGATGTTTTATTGTTCCATCTTTCATTTGACGTACAATATCAGATTGAAAACGAAGTTTTGGTTTATGTTTTTGTATACGATATTTATCAATTGAAGGTATATCATTATATTCAATATAAATAAGAAATAAATTATATAACCAAAATACAGTTTGAAATGTAATATAAATACAAATTGTAAATGTTAACCATTCGGATGAATAAAAATATTTATCACATATATAACTAAAAAATGGTGATGATCCTGTTACAATCTCTGATGTTTTTGTAATATTCATTTTTCAATTTTATCATAATGATAATATGTATATAACATTTTTATACTATTATCTTTTGTTTGCATTAGTAATGTGACATTATCACGTGTAACTTTTATCTCAACAAGTTAATATAAACTAGAACAATATTCGAAATAATTGTAATTTAGTCTTATTTAAGTAGTTCATAGCTATGTAATAGAGATTTTAAAATCTTTATTTAAATATGATTTTATTCAATTTCGATTGAGTTCTAAATCGAATTTCCCATCTTGATAAACTCTTCTGACAGAAATTCTTTGCTTTCTTATTTTCACATCAAACATCCCTTTTTTTGTGATTGATGCATATTTTGAAGATCATTGATTGATATAAAATAGAAGATTTCCTAACTAATCAAATTTATAAAGCGCCTATACTTATAACAATTCATTTGGAATTCCGATATTCGGACAATGAATATTTGATCTGCATTGAATTATTATAAAATGATTGCCGAAGTATAGAGTATAGACAAGTGTCTTTCGACCAAAAACTTTATAAATACTTGGTGATATTTTACCATTTTCACAAAATAATAAATGATTTGTATCTTGTTTGTGGATATGAAGCTGTCATTGAAGATGTGTGTTAACTTCCTTCGTTTTGGATAGTTTCTCTTTGTTTTATTTATTTTTGTAGGACAGACCATGAAATAATAACGACATATTCAAATGAATTGATTTAGTTTTCGTTGCTATTATGTTAGTAGAAAAACTTTTCAAACTATGTTTAAAAAAGCTCATTAGCATAGTTTCTTTGGAGCTGAAATGTGGAACTCACATGCATCCTTAAACCTTAATATTCTAATGCATCATATGTAAACTGAAAAATTTCGTGTACACTGTAGTTGTTTTCATTGATAAACAATGACAAGAGCGAGACTTTTTTATTTATGTCTACATTTAAAATAGAAAATTTTTTTGTTTGACAGCGCCCATTTTTCTTTTGTATTGTTGCTGTTCGCTCATTATCTTTCTTTTTTTTTATTTTAAATCGTTTTTCGTAACTCAATATTCTTATTACTATAATCATTGAATTAATTGGCAAATAAATCTGTTTTACATATCCATGATATCCACAGAAGACCTTACACATTATTATATAAACTAATCAGCTCACAAACAATGATCTGGATTATCTTTCAAAATTATAACTTGATCAATTTTTCAAAAAAAACTAGAAAATCTGACGCCTGTTATTCTCAATTGCTAAGGTCTGTAATGAAGACCTGTCTGTAATGGGGGCCTACGTTGCTATGTGTCTGTAATGGGGAGGGGGGGGGGGGGCTCGAAAACTCGAACTTAAAACTTGCACTTGCTATTTTCTTCGAAAATATATGTGAGTTCTACAAAATCATTTAGTTAGAGAAGCTGTAAGTGTGGAATGTAAATGTGGGTCTTAGTATGAGTTAGAAAAAAATCAGATATTTATACACCCGTCCACAGCTACACTCATATCCTTAGAAAAAT